CTCCAGTCTGGGCGACAGGGTGAGACTCCAACTCAAAAAAAAAAAAAAGAAAAGAAAAAATACCTCTGAAATGGCTAAGTTTTAGAGAAATACCGGGGGCTGTCACCATAATTATTCCAGCTTGAGACGGTCTATTTGGGGTGAGCTATACTCTGGTCAGCTTCTGTCTACTCCCTTTCAAAGGTAGTTGGGAGGGGGTGACTGACTAAGGGTATATATCTGCAAATGAGGCAGCAGCAAGATTTAAAATGAATCAAGTTTCTAAATAGGTGCAGTCATTGCTTTGCCCTTCCAGGCTCCTGGTAATTGAGAGATGACCAAGCATGGCTTTCTGAAATCATGTGACCCAGCACCCTGCCACACACCTACCCTAGGTCTGTCGTGGTTCTCCGATATCAGTTCTGCCTGGGGCTGAGCTAGAATCCCACCAACCTCTGAAGTTCTGTAAGCATCTCCTGTGATTTAGATCTGCATTTTTCATACCATGTTCCCCTGTCCCCATTTCTTGATAGTGTCCAGTGACCGCAGGGAGATCTATTTACTGCCTGTGTTGCAATCAGTTTTCCAGATGGAAAACATTTGATAAAGTGTCCTAACTCACATAGACATTGATATTTGGAAGAGTTGTCACAGAGAAAGGAAAAGTTACCTGGAGTGCAATGGATGTATAGCAGTACTTCACAGATGGGGGAAAGAAGAGAGATGTTAATACTTGTGGTCTTCGTTGTCTATAAAATAAGAAGCAGCATGATAACAGTTCACAGTACAGATTTTTGAGTCAGCAACTGAGTTTTTTATCTGTAGGTTCTGCTACTTTCCAGCTTTGCTGTTCCCTTGAGCAAGTTTCTTTAACCTTTCCTAAACCTCAGTTTCTTCTGTGAAATGAAAAAGCTATACCTTAGGTTTGTTGCGAGGTTTATGTGAGCTAATATAAGTCAAGCACTCGATGAGTGTTCAAAAATAGCAGTTGCTGATATTACTATTCTAAAAATTATTTTATCAGCTAAACTAAGGTTTATTCTTGAGCTAATGCCTTTATAGCAAACTCAGTAGGCAGATAGATACATATGTACATATAAACTCTCATAGATACATAGATAGATATAGATATATCAGTGACACTTCTATTACTAGTGACTTGTAACTTGCTGTGTAGATACCTTTATTAAGGTAAGGATATGTATCTAGAAGGTCTGTCCTTTAACAAAATAGTTGACTAAAGTTCCTACCAAGGACAGAAGGCCTATGCCATTTAAAAACTTTCTCTCATTCCTCTTTTAGGAGTTAAAAGGAAAGAGTTATGAGTTGACTTTTGAGACTAAACATAGCCTTAGTAAGTAAAAATTGCTGGTAGATTCTTTGTGTAGAATATTTGCTTAGATTGCTACTGTTCCCTGCTCAGATCACCTGATGAGGAAGTAACCAGTGGGTTTTGCCACCATTGCCCTTAAGTAAACATCCAAGAATCCTTTATTTCCAAGGGTATTTTTCCTGAGTGTTTTTTAGAATCTTAGTGCTTCCAAGGATTTCTGCTCAAGTGAGCACAGTGTTGATATTTTATAGTCCTCATCAATTGTTTGTGATTATTTACATATCTCTCTACCTTCTTCCTGACTGTGTGTAACTTAAAGACTGGGAATCTTGACTCATTCTTCTTTGTATCTTTGGTTAGCAGGATGTCTGGAATATAGTAAATGCTTAATAACTGTTTGTAGAATAATGAATGTACCATATGCTGGATATCATCCTATTACCCCTCCAGATCCATTTTCTACCCTTCTTTACCCTGCCTTGGTCTGAGAGGCTGACCTGCAGATGATACCAAGGGACTCCAGGCCCTCTGGCTTCTGGTGGAGTTTGACCAATGACAGATGAAGATGGAAGGGTGGGAGGAGAGGGTGTTTGTCCCCTTGTTTCCTTCAACAGATGTCACTTCTCTTTTCAAGGCAGTCTGTTCTACATGATCACTCTGCTCCCTTCCAGGGTCTGTAGCTTCTCCATTCTTATCCTTTTAGACCAAGGAGTGGTGACAGCACCAGGTTCCTGTACCATCCCTTACAGTTTCCTGGTACCCTGTCCACCCCTGTATAATTAGTCTCTTTGTTAATTTACTCTCTACAAATTATCTTAATTAGAGTGTACTTACTCCTTCCTGTTGGCTCCAGTTGCTTATAGAGATTTTAAATGGTTTGAGCTGGACACTGAGGCTATATAGCACCATTTTCAGAGAATGTGGGACATGGCTAGCCATTAAGGGTGCTCTGATGCATGGCAGCTTTAGGGAAATAAAGAGCAGTTTGGAAACTATTCTCTGCTTAGGAGAGCCTTTCTCCCACAGATACGTATAAGATCTTATTTTAGACTGACTGTCTGTTAAGTCTCTGAAATTGCCCCTTGTCGTGGTTGTATATCTGACTCAGCATGGGATATGCCAGAAGAACTCAGGACCAAATATAACAGGGCAGAGGATGCACACTTTAAGCATTGCCTTTGCCAACAGATTTCTTAAAGGAATGACTTTGGTGTTCCATTCACTGTTTAAATTTCACTCTTTGGGCTGTTTTTCTGCAGGTGATCATAAACAGCACAATCACACCGAATATGACTTTCACCAAAACATCACAGAAGTTTGGGCAGTGGGCCGACAGCAGAGCCAACACGGTGTTTGGTTTAGGGTTTTCCTCTGAGCAGCAGCTGACAAAGGTAATATGAGCTTTTCCACAGAACAGTAAGTACACGTCAGAGGCTGTTCTTATTCAGTAATTGCCTGCCGAGAGATGATGCTCTTAGTGAACAGGATCCCTTTCTGGTCTTCTTTCTGGCATTGCAGGGCTGCCAAAGCAGGGGCCCTTTTCGAAATATCAGGTTTCTTGAAGTCTTTGGGGGAAGGGAAATCAGGTGGGTCAATTGTATTTTCAGGTCTCTGAGGATTAGCTATGTGTATGTGCACACACATACCTAATGTGAGGGCACAGTTGTTGGAGGGTTGTTACCTTAGGACTTCCAAGGAAGAGACTATGTGTACCTGCTGCCAACAGTGCATCTTGATGAAATAAGTGTGTTACATCTTTTAAAGAATAGCACAGTTTGTCTCTGGCAGCCGTCAATATCGGTGACTCTCTGGTTGGAACCTTTAGAAAGTAAGCTTTTGCTTAATAGAAGCTTTTACCCTACAGTCCCCACACCCCTTAAAATGCCACACAGTGGAAGGGGGAGGATGTGTATTGCTTTTTTTCCAGGGAGAGGATTCATAGCTCTGATTCAGTTCTGCAGAGGGTTTAGGACATATGCCATGGACGGTTAGAAAGATGTCAAGGAAAAAAGATCATGGCTTGGGGAAGACTACAGATTGAGAGAACCCTAAGAACTAAGGAAGAACCCCAAGAACTGATCACCTCTGAAAGGCCTTACTCAGCAGTCTGAAGGGGCCACAAGCCAGTTCTAGGAGAATATGTTTCCTTTCATGGTGGTAGAAGAGCCCTGTGAAGGTATAAAAGTAAGACTCATAGCCGGGCTCGGTGGCTCAGCCTGTAATCCCGCACCTTAGGAGGCTGAGGTGAGTGGATTGGCTGAACCCGCGGGTTCGAGACCCGCCTGGGCAACTTGGCGAGACCTCATCTCTACAATAAATCAAAAATCAGCCGGGCGTGGTAGCGTGCGCCTGTAGTTCCAGCTACTTGGAAGGCTGAGATGGAAGGATCGCCGGAGCCCGGCAGGTCGAGGCTGCGGTGGACGGGAGCAGCCACTGCACTCCAGTCTGGGCGACCAAGTGAGACTCCAACTCAAAAAAAAGTAAGACTCATGAGTTTACATGACACAGGAACATGTTGGAAGAATGTCACCATGTCTCAAGGAATCCAAGGGAGAGTAGAAAATCCAGGGACAGGCAGGAGCCAGGCTGCCTTCTGGAAGCTCAGCTCTAGGAGTTGTGTCTCTCTAGACCATTACCGTGAACATCTGACTGACTGGCTGGGCAAGTATTGATTGAGCTTCTGCTCTGCTGACACTCTGGATGCAGAATTGTGTTTCCTGTTCTCAGGGGCCTTCACAGAATTCCAGATTCTTGGGGAAATGATAGAGTTGTCTAGTACAGATCCCTCTGTTTGGGTTCCCTGTCTATGTTGAGGGTAGTTTTCAAAGAAGAGGAAATCAGGGTGAGTCAGAAAGCCACCCCAGCAGGGGCCTGTTAATTTGCACCCTTCGTTTGTCCAGTGTGTGTGCGTGGGTGTACACACACACACATGCACACATACTTCTAAGGAGACCCCCAGCGTATAGATCCTGCACCCCATCACAAATGAGATCCCTACCCCACACACTATCCACCTCTGTATCCCAAGGTACTTCCATGAGGACTCTGTTCCCTTAGAAACCTGAGAAACTCAAAATGGCCTGGTGACACTCCAGGCTTCCACTCTCATGCCACCGTTCGCAAAAGCATTCTTTCCTGGGTGCTAAAGCCTCCAGATCACCAGGGCCAGAAACACAGAGCAGGAAGCAAAAACCTTGAGGACAGTCATTGGATATAAGTATGGATGTCCTCTCCGTCCCTGAACCCTCAGTTCCTGGACTTGTGTACTGTGTAACTCTGGAAGATGTGATATTCCAGCAGGCACACACACAACAGAGTTCTGCAAGGCCTGCTGCTTCTGACTGACACAGTACCTGGAAGAACCTAGAATCCCATGGCGATTCGATTCTTGCTTCACTTCATTTGCAGAGAAGAGAGTTCTCTGCAACCTCACTTGGTTTGAAGCAGTGTTATGTGGTATAGAAAGCATTAGGTAAATCTGTGGGTGGTGGGGCTGGCAGAGGCACAGAAATCTGCAGGGACTCTTCTGGTGAAGATAAATCACTGCTACCCTTGGAAGAAGGAGCCCAGTATAATCAGGGAGCTGGCTGGTGCTTAGAGGTGTGATGTTCAGGGTGAGTCACTGGGTTGGCAGCTGATACTCAGCAGGACCAGAAGTCAGGGTGGCCCTGGGGAGTAGGGGTATGTGTTTTTGAGACCGTATGACTTTTCTCCTGGCACAATGGCCAGTATGTCCGTAAGTCTTTTGAGCAAGTACCAGGCTGCCTGGAGGAGGTGAATGACTGGGTATCCATAGAACAGTTCTTCCTGCCATCTAGCTTGAAAAATGCTCTTTTGCTGTGAAGGGCAGGGCTACTGAAGAGCATTTGTGTGGCACATGAATATTTCCAGGCTTTAGTTCCACTAGACCCATTAACATTGCTGTTCCCATAATCTCTTTGTCACTCTTCTTGGTCCCTACCTACACAGCTAGGCCCTTGTATCAGTCTGTTTCGTGTTGCAATAAAGAAATGTCTGAGACTGGAGAATTTATAAAGGAAAGAACTTTATTTGACTCATAGTTCTGCATGGCATCAGCATTTGCTCAGCTTCTGGTGAGGCCTCAGTAAGCTTTTACTTGTGGCGGAAAGCAGGGGTAGACGACATGTCACACGGAAGAGAGTGGAAGCAAGAGAAGAGGAGGTGGTGCCAGGCTATTAAACAATCAGTTCTTGAGTGAATGAATAGAAATAGAGTGCGAGAACTCATTACTGCAAGAACAGCACCAAGCCATTCATGAGAGATCCATCCCCATGACCCAGACATCTCCCACTAGGCCCCACCTCCAACACTGGGGATCACATTTCTTTCTTTTCTTTTCTTTTTTCTTTTTTCTTTTTGTTTTGAGTAAGAGTCTCGCTCTGTCATCCAGGCTGGAGTGCAGTGGCACATTCACAGTCACCACAGCCTAGACCTGCTGGGCTCAGGCCTTCCTTTCACCTCAGCCTTCCAGGTAGTCAGAACCACAGGCATGCACCACCATGCCTGGCTAATTTTTTGATTTAATGTAGAGACAAGGTCTCACCAAGTTGCCCTGGGCTCAGGCAATTCTCTTGTCTCTGCCTCCCAAAGTGTTGGGATTACAGGCGTGATTCACTGCGCCCAACTGAGGATCACATTCATCCAGACTTGGAGGAGACAACATCCAAACTGCACCATCCTTTACCCATTTCCCTGGACATCCTGAGTACAGGCCAGCTCCCTTGTGCATGTGGCATCATGAGATGCTCCAAGGTGTACCCATGTGGCGGAGGATTCCTTTTCCATTGTCTTCCTGACAGCAAGGGTAGCTTGAGCAAAGTCATGGCACTGTGTGGTATGTGAAGGAAGCTGCAGAGGGTTCACTATTGATAGAGGGTCCTGGTTTTGTGGGGTAGGCAAGGCTGCCAGGGTCTAGCCCTTGGAGCATGTTGTCTGTCATACTGGAGATTCTGGACTTTATCCTGTGTCCTGAGAAGGATTTTAAACCCAGAAAGAAAATGATTAGATTTACATTTTAGGTATATTTTTTTCTGGCAACAAGTCAGATTAAATCATTTTGGTCCCAGGTAAAGCTGATAAAGGTTTGAGTAAGTGTTGAAGAACTTTTTAAAATGTTAAGGAGCTGATGTTGGCAGAACTGAGAGAGTGGATGTGGGAGGAAAGACTGGGATGATGATGATGGATGGGTGGTGGTAAGGCCATTTTCTGAAATAGGGAAGAGGAATAAGTGCCCCGAGGAGCAGAGAGAATTTGTATTAAGTGGAAGCAAATGTGATGGTGACTTGTTGAAAGAATGATTAGTTGGAACCTCTGCCCGAGGTGGGCAGTGGGGGTGTGGGGCTTTTCCCTCCTGAAGAAGTGCCTGGTGGGGAATGGTAGGAGCACCCCTTGCCATGCCAAGTGGCCCCTTTCCACACCAGTGGGAGTCTACTCTGTCACCCAAGCTGGAGTGCACCACAGCTTCAACCTGCTGAGCTTAGGTGATCCTTCTACCTCAGCCTTCCAAGTAGCTGGAAGTACAGACATGTGCCACCACGTCCAACTAATTTTTAAATTTATTGTAGAGACAAGGTCTCGCTATGTTGCCCAGGCTAGTCTCGAACCTGCAGGCTCAGGCAATCCTCTTGCCTCCACCTCCCAAAGTGCTGGGATTACAGGCTTGAGCCACAGCATATGGCCCCACACCTACTTCATATTTACATGAATAGGGTTGGTCCGGCCTGGCCCATCTTGGTCACATGCTCCTAATCCTGCCCAGGGCTGAAAGTTCGTCCCTGAAACCCAGGATAGTTTGAGAGAATCACTCACAGCTTTCTGGAACAGTTTCTTCAATTCTTGGAGGAACTGAAGTAGCTAGGAAGAAGAAGGGGGAAGGTTTCTGTAAAAAGAATTGAAAGAAGGGAGAATTCTAAACAAAAACTAGAACATACTGTTCAAGTTCAATTCTTGGCATGCGGTGGCTCATGCCTGTAAGCCCAGCCCTTTGGGAGGCTGAGGTGGAAGAATAGCTTAAGGCCAAGAGTTCAAGACCATCCTGGGCAACATAGTGAGACAGGAAACAACTCTGTCTATACAAAAAAATTTAAAAATTAGCCAAGTATGGTGGCACATACCTGTAGTCCCAGCTACTCGGGAGGCTGAGGCAAAAGTATCACCTGAGCCCAGAAGATCAAGGCTGCAGTGAGTGATAATCATGCCACTGCACTTCAGCCTGGGTGACAGAGTGAGACCCAGATTCAAAACAAACAAACAAATAAACAACAAAAAAAAAACCACGTTGTTCAAGTTCAATTATTTGTGCCTCGGAGAGCTGAAGAGACCTTGAACTGTGCCTTTTTCCAAGGGTGGTCACTTGTAGTTTTTCCCAGGC